AACAGGCCTGGTGCAGTGGCTCACGCCTGTAATTCCAACACTGAATCTGAGGTAGGAGGACTCTTTGAGCTCAGGAGTTCAAGACCCAATACACAAAACATATTAAGTACTTTCTCCTCTCAAGTATTCTAAATTATGTTTGAGAGTTCAAGCAAAAATGATAAAACTGTCTGAAGGAGTCCTCAATCTGTGAAATAGAGTATGTAAGACATAAGTAGGTGAAGGTAAAGCAATCTAAGGGGAGGTAAGGTGTTTATAATATACTCAGATGGGTAAAATGACAACTGTCATACATTGTGTAGACATAATGTAGTATGTAGAGCAACCACTGGAAAAAAGATACAAAGATATGCACTTGAAAACACTGGATAGTTAAAAAGAATTACAAAAAGTATACAAGTAACCCACAAAAAGATAGGAAAAAGAAAAAAACAGAAAACAAAAATGGCATCAACTCTCAAGTATCAATTACAACAAACGTAAATGGCCTAAATATACCAACTGAAAGACAAACTATCCTAGTGAATCAAAAAAAAAAATTACCCAAATACATGGTGCCTATAAGAAACTCATTTTATGCATAATATAGACAGACTGAAAGTAAAAACATGGAAAAGTATGTAAATGTTAAGAAAATATGAGTGGCTGTATTAATATCAGATAAAACAGAACACAGGGGAAGAAAATTACCAGAGAGGAGGACATTATAATGACAAAAGAGTCAACCCAACCCAGTAAGACATAGCAATCCTAACTAAATATCCATGAACCAGAGCTGCAAAATGGGAAGTATAACTGAATTGAAAATAGACAACCCAGGATTATAGTTAGAGATTTCAATATCTTTCTCAACGATTGACATAACCAGATATAAAATCAGCAAGAGTACAGAACTCAACATTACCAAACAACAAGAGCTATCAGATATTTATTTATAGGTCGTCTGACCCAACAACAGACAAACAAGGCACATTCTTTTCAAGTGCCAAGAGAATATGTACTAAGACCACATCCTGAATCATAAAACAAACCTCAACAAATGTAATAGAACTGATGTGGTCCAGAGGGTGTTCTCTGACCACAATAGACTCAAACTAGAAATCAGCAGCAGAAAAAATACAAATAATCTTCAAACACCTAGAAACTAAAACATATGTTTCTAAATAAAACAAGAGTTAAAGCTGAAGTTTCGAGATAAATAAAAGATACACTGGGGCTGGGCAGGGCAACTCATGCCTGCAATCCCAGCACTTTGGGAAACCAAGATGAGAGGACCACTTGAGGTCAGGAGTTTAAGATCAGCCTGGCAACATAGTGAGACCTCCATCTCTACCAAAAAAAAAAAAAAAAAGGGAAGAAACTAGCCAGGTGTGGTGGCACACATCTGTAGTCTCAATTACTCCAGGAGGCTCAGGCGGGGGGATTATTTGAGTCTAGGAGTACAAGGCTATAGTGAGCTATGATTGTGCCACTATACTGCAGCCTGGGTGACAGAGGGAGATCTTGTCTTTAAAAACAAAAACACCCACCCCCCTTGAACACATGAAACTCGACTTTTCTTTCTTTCCTTCCTTTTTTTTCCTTTCCTTTTCCCTCCCTCCTCCTTCACCATCTCCCTCCCTCTTTTCTTTCTCTTATTAATTTCTTGAGGAGAAAAAAGAACCCTGCCCCCACACACATAAAGACCCAAATGACAAATGACAAAAAAAAAAAAAGCCCAAAAGCAGAAGAGACAATGAAGATAAAAGCAGAAATCAATTAAATTAAAAACAGAGGAAAAAAAATGAAACAAAGACGTATTTCTTTGGAAAGATCAATAAAACTGACAAATCTGTAGCAAGAGACAATAAAGACAAGACAGAAATTACCAATATCAGGAATAAAACAGGGAACATTATTACAGACCCCACCAACATTAATACTTAGAACATTTCTGTACACATAAATTTGACAATGAAGACCAAATGAGCAAACTCCTAAACACAAATACAATATGAAATAGACAATTTGAATAGCCCTTAATTATAAATACTAAGGAAACTGAATCATCGTTTTAAAACTCCCCCAAAGAAATTTCCAGGTCCAGATGGTTTTCACTGGAGAATTCTACCAAACATTTAGAAGAATTAACATCAATTCTATACAATCTCTCTTCCAGCAAACACAAGAGGGAACACATTCCAATTCATTTTATGAAACTACTATTACTTTGATACTCACACCACACAGGCAGTATAAAAGAAAATTACAGACCAAAATCTCTCATGAAAACATATGTAAAAATCCTTATAAAAATTTTACCAGATAAAACTCAGCAATATATAAAAATTATTATATACCACGACCAAGTGGAGTGCATTTCAGGAATGCAAGGTTGGTTAATCCACCAAACAGACTAAAGGGAAAGCTGTCACTACCATATCAATGCAGAAAAAGGATCTGATAAAATTCAACACCTATTCATGATTAAAAGGATCAGAAAAGCAGGAATAGGGAAAATTTTATGAGCCTGATAAAAAGCATCTACAAAAACCTACATCTAAACTTAATGGTAAAAGATTGAAGGCTTTCCAAGATTAGAAACAAGGCAAGGTGTCCACTGTCGCTCTGATTCAAACCTAGTGCTGAAAGTTCCTACGGTAAGTGCAATAAAACAACAAAAGAAATCAAAGGCATATACACTGAAAAGAAAAAATAAAACTGTCCCTATTTGCAGATGAAATGATAGGCTATGTAGAAAACTGCAAGGGATCTTAAAAGGACTTCAGCTGCTGGGACTGGTGGCTCACACCTGTAATCTCAGTCCTTTGGGAGGCCAAGGTGGGTGGATCAGGAGTTCGAGACCAGCCTGACCAACATGGTGAAACTCTATCTCTACTAAAAATACAAAAATTGGCCATGTGTGGTGGTGCATGCCTGTAGTCACAGCTGCTTAGGAAGCGGGGGCAGAACTGCTTGAACCTGGGAGGCAGAGATTGCAGTGAGCCAAGATGTTAGCACTTCACTCTAGCTTGGGCTATGAGCAAAACTTTGTCTAAAAAAAAAAAAAAATTCAGCAACGTCACAGACAGAAGGTAAACATACAAAAACCAATTATTGTTCCATATTAATAATGAACATAGGGACAGAAATCCAGCAGTATTTACAATTATTCAAAAAAATCAAATACTAAGTGTAAATCTAGCAAAACTTGCTTAGGACCTGTAAGCTGAAAACTACAAAATGAAAGAAATCAGAGAGCTACATAAATGGAGAAACACTATGTTCATGGATCGTAAGATTCAACACAGCAAAGATTGTCAGTAATTCCCAAATTGATATATAGGTTTAATGTAATTCATATACAAATTTCAGCAATATTTTTATAGAGATGAGATTATTCTAAATTGTATATTGGAAGGCAAAGGAATTAGAATAGTTAAAAAATTTTTTGAGAAAGAAAAAAAAAAAATCAAGTGAAAGGAATCACTCTTCACAATTTCAAATTTTATTACACAGCTCCAGTAATCAGGACTGTGTGGTGGCCGAGAGAGAGACACATAGATCTGAAGAAAATAAACCACTTAGACTAGACTGACACAAATATGTCCAACTGAATTTTGGCAAAAGTGTGAAAGCAATTCAGTAAAGAGAATTTTCAACAGATGGCACTGGGGCAACTGAACATCCATAGGCAAAAATAAATCTCAACTTAAGTTTCTTAACCTAAAATTAACTAAAAATGGATCAACACTTACATGTAAAAAGTAAAACGATAAAACTTTTTGGGGGGAAAATGAACATTTTCAGGATCTAGAGTATCAAATGGTTTTAGACTTGACACCAAAAACGCCAAAAACAATAACACCATTAAGGAAAATCTGACTTTATGAAGACAAAAAAACAAGCTACAGATTAGGAGAAAATATTTGCAAATCACATACTTGACAAAGTACTAATATCTGAACTATACAAAGAACTTTCAAAACTCAACAGTAAAAAAAAAATTACAAAACAGACAAAAGTCATGAAAACATTTGACCAAAGATGATGTACAGATGGCAAATTAGCACATGAAAAGATGTTTAACATCATCAGTCATTAGGGAAATGCAAGTTGAACCACAATGAGATAGTACTACATATCTATGATGAAAACAGGTAGAATAAAAATCTCGACACCACCAAATGCTGATGAGGATGTGGAGAAACCGAAGCACTCAGGCATCCTTGGTGAGAATGTAAAATGGTTCGGTCAGTCTATTTTATAAGAAACTATCAAATATTTTCCAAAGTATGGGACTATTCTTCAAACCAGAAACTACCCTGGACATTTATCCTGGAGCATTAAAAACAAGTTCACATAAAATTCCGTACACAGAATTTTAAATAGCCAAAACCTGAAAACAACCCAGGTGTCCTTCAACAGGTAAATGGTTAAACAAGTTATCCATACCACGGAATACTACTCAGCAATAAAAAAGGATCAAACGATTGATGCAAACAACAACCTAGATCAATTTCCAGATAATTATGTGAAATGACAAACGCCCGTCCCAAAAGGTTACATACTGTTTATACGCAGCCTTTAATATTCTTGAAGTGACAAAATTGTGGAAATACGAGTATCAGTGGCTGCTATGGATTAGAGGAGAGCAGGGGCGGAAGGAAAAGTGGATTGGCTACACCAGAACATAAGCAAAAAGGTATGTAAGGGACACTTGCCACGATGGAAATGTTACATACCTTGATGGTGTCAATATCAATAACCCAGTTGTGATACTGTACTAGAGTTCTGCAGCATGTTACTGTGGGGGAAACAGGAATGACTACACAGGATTTCCATTATTTTTCACAACTGCATGTAAATCTACAATGATCTAAGAAAGTTTCTTTTATAAAAATGTACATTAAAGATCTTGAATGACACCTACCAATTGAACACTTGTTTTATCGAATACATACCAAAACATGTTTAGAATCTTTTACCCAAATGAGAACACACACAATAAAATAACTTACAGTATTCACTTCCTTTGGTGAGTTATTTTCAACACTTGGTGATGACTCTGAGTTTCCTAGGGAGAAAAGACATAATTTCAAATAAAAGCCAAATAATGCTTTTTATTGCTAATAATGAAAAATAGTGTAATTAGGTGATATTCAAGTAACAGGACTATGCCATAATGACCTTATAGCTACCCCAGAATATAAGCGACATCCTACTTTTCCCAACAGAAAGTAAGGACTTAGCTGGGTGCAGTGGCTCACGCCTGTAACCCCAGCACTTTGGGAGGCCAAGGCATGTAGATCACTTGAGGTAAGAAGTTCAAGACCAGCCTGGCCAACATGGTGAGATGCCATCTCTAGTAAAAATACAAAAATTAGCTGGGCATGGTGGTGCACACTTGTAATCCCAGCTACTCAGGAGGCTGAGGTAGGAGAATCACTTGAACCTGGGAAGCAGAGGTTGCAGTGAGCTATCGCCACTGCACTCCAGCCCAGGCAACAAAGACTGTTTTGAAAAAAAATTAAAATATGTATAAAATAAGAACTTGTCTGAAATTTTCTTGACTTGTGCTCCTCTCATGGTGAACTTTTCTTCATCCACTAAGGCAGTAATTCTCAAGTTTTCTGGATTCTGAAACCCTCTGCACTCTTAAATATTGAGCGTCCTACAGAGCTTCTGTTTACATGGCTTATTTCAATCAGTATTTACTGCATTAGAAATTAAAATTAAATTTAAACTATCCATTTAAAATTAAATGCATTACATGCTGACAATTTTTAAAAACTGTATTTTTCAAAACAAAATATAGAAGAATTACACATTTTTGCATATCATTAATGATTGGCTTCACAGAAGACAGCTGTATTCACATATAGCTTTTGCCTTCACTCAGTGAAATGTTGCTTCTGGTTCAAGTATCTGAAAAAAGTCTGGCCTCCCAGACGTAAGTATTTGCAAGGAAGAGGAATACTTAATGTCCTTCTCTGTTAATTGTGGATATTTGCCTTTAACAGTACACCAAAACAAGTGGTATAGGGTTAGAAGCAATGTGAACTCTAAAACTACATCAGGGAAGTTTTCATACTGTTAAATTAGAATTCACTGATTTACCCTGCACTTTCAATGGATTTTTGCCCATGCGTGACAGCAATACCACCTGGAAAAGACAGGTTCACTGAGTTATGCAGTGTTGCCAAATGTCAACACATTTCATTATGAAATAGCAAAAATTCTTGTGTTAGAGCCTGGTGTGGTGGCTCATTCTCGTAATCCCAGGGTTTTGGGAGGCTTAGGCACGAGAATCGTTTGCACCCAGGGGTTTGAAGCAGCAGTGAACTATGACTGTGCTATTGTACTTCAGCTTAGGTCGCAGACACTGTTTTCAAAAATATAAAAATATTAATATTCATGTGTTATCACCATGCATCTCACCAGAAAAGTCTTGGGAAGTTCTTAAGCTCAATGTGGCAAACACAACTTTCCTAAAATCCCAATTTGCTTGAAAGTGTAAATTTTGTCTTTAACAAAATAATATCAGCAGTTTTCCTTGAAATAACAGGCTGACTTTGTTAATATTTGAGAAAATGCTTGCCAGGTTAAGTTTGAATAACCAGTTGTCATCTTTTCAAGTAAAAAGTATGCTCCAAGGAAAGAAGTTTCTCTTTAGCTCACAACTCAATTGCACGCATGCTTTTCCTACTTCAAAAGGCAGAAGTTAGGAATAATTCACATTTCATTACACAAAATACTAAAAATACTGTACACAATGGTCAAGCTTTAACAGAGTACCTTTAACTGCCCCATCAAGGGCATTTTTAACTGTAATTGGCATTTTTAGTTTTCCTTTTAACTGCAAGTGCGTGACAATGAAAAACTCAATGAGCCCTAGCCCAGGTTGGCGCTCCTGCTTTAAGTTGAGCTAATAATTTGCTTCTGCACCATCAGTGTAAAGCTGGCATAGTAGAAAAGGCAAATAATGTAAGGAAAACAGGTTTGACCTCCTGGGGAAGCCCAGAGGCCCAAGGGCACATTCTGAGAATCATATCACCATGTTAAAACATCACATCTCATATACTCTCAGAGGCTAAATTCCACCAGGTCCTAGCCTCCTTAGAAAGCAGGCTTTTAGAACTGGGACTAAAGGAATGATAAAAATAAATCACATGAAACCAGTTAAAATCTTAGCCATAACTTTGTGATATATGCATGAAGTCTGCACATTATTTTTAAGATACAACCAGTCTTTAGAACACCCATTAAAAAAGCCAGTGTTTCACTTCTACATTCCTAGTACAGTCCTTTGTGGGGGAATAAAGCTCATTCTTTCCCCAGGAATTTTTTCTGAGATTAATGAAGCCAAAAGGGAGCTACTTGGTATCTGGTTCCTTCTAAATTAATAATTAAATGCAAATACTGTAAGATAGTCACGTGCCTGTTCTGTTAATAGCCCACTGGGTGTGGTTATATATACTTCCGGTAAAGCACAGAAACCACGAGAATCAAGAAGCAGGAAGTCTGTGGTTTTTCACTCACCTGCTGGCGATTTTTTCCTGTCTCCTTGGGATCCAACCACTTCTCCATTGATGCTGCTAGGGTTTGAAGAAGCTGAATTGTCTTCCTGACTGGCCAAATATTGTTTGGTTTGCTCACACAGCAAAAAATTGTTCTTTTTATTTCCATTCTCTGAACTTTTCAGCCTGAAATTAGGACGGTTAGGAAGTGCTCCAGGACTTCTTAAAGATTCATGTGGTGGAAGCTTCTTTCCATTTTTCTCAAAATTAAATGGCTCTGTCACCTTACAAGGAGGTGCTTCCGAATTATTTCTTGACATCATATTAAATGGCGATTTAACACTCAGAGGTCTAAGGAGAGAATGTATTTAAGACACCTTTTAATTTAAAAATTCCAGAAGAACTGCAGGCTCAGAGGAATTCTCCCAAGTATTTATGTAACAGATAACACCTATAAAACAATTCCAAAGCAGATATAACCATGACATCAAAACTTGACCTATAAGGCACAAGCAAAATACCAATTCTCGATAAGTTTAACGAAATCAACCACAGACCAATTCACGAGAAATCAAAAAAGTAAATCTCAGCATTCAACACCATTCCTTTTAAAAGCTTGTGAAGCAACACTAATAGAAAATATCTTCCATGTTTTAAAAGAAACATTCCCAACCTAAAGCTTACATGCACCTAATGGCAAAATGCAACAGAAGAGGTGTGTTTAAATCAGTCATCACCTACCTTTCTACCCTCTCCCTACTTTATGCTACATCCAGTCCTTGACTATGCTAAACCCACTACCCAGAATGCCCTCACACTCACTGCCTGACTATCCTGCTCAGCCTTCACAATCCATCTCAGCTGACCCGTCTTCCCTCCAGTTTTGCCAAGGCCTCTGCTTTAATCATCCCCAGCTGAACTTCCACAAATTGTAATTTATACCTACCGCTTTTAAGGACCTATCTATGCCTCTTTCTCTGAAAGTAAGTTGGAAATGTTGCAAGCTTTCCAAGTTTAATTTGTCACAAAGTGTCTCTGAGAAACCTCTCTCCAGAAAGGATGCTGGCATGTTTTTTCATTACTCTTAAAGAATGGTAAGTGCCCTGCCCAGGGGAAGTAATTAAAAGGGACAAACACCTTGTCTTTTGACGTAGTGACTGAGAGCTTTGTCTGCTCCCAAAACAGCTCAGAGGGGGAGGAAAAATGTCACAGCTGAAACTAGCATGAGTAATATCTAAATGTTAACATGATCTTAAACAGAAAAAAAAATAAATAGCAGTTGATGTCCTAATCTCATTTCTTATTCTAAAGTAGGCCTAACCTAATCCAATGAGAATACAGACAAGATAACAAAATAAAAACAAAAATATACAGGCACACTCAAAGGTAGGGAACTCTTATTGGACCAGACGCTGAGAAGATCCCTAACGGAATGACCGCAGGTAAGCAGCGATGGGGCAATCCTGCAGCTGCCAGGGGCAGGACAACTGTATGGATAAGCATGCCTAAATTGAAGGGACAGACTGAGAACCGCAATGTTTTATGCACTAAGAGAGCAATGTTGTTCAATTACAAAAGAAAAATAAACTCCAGGGGAATCAGGTGGTGGTGGAGAGAAAAAAAGTCTAGACTCTGTACAAGAAATACAAAGAATGTGCATTAAAATATTAGAGTAACCGCCAGACAAACAGAAATGGAAGACATAACTTTAAAACCACAGAAGAAAATCTTAATCCAACAGAAAAAAACTTCAAGTACAAAAAAACATCAAATAAGATGACAGAATCAAGCCCAAGTAATGCAAGTATTAATGAGTTGGTCTCAAAAGAAAGAAAGATAAACTCAGGGAGAAATTCTTCAGCAAAATGTTAGGCACAAATGCACACATATAACCAAATTATATGGTAAGGTTCCAAATAAACGGACTAAAATGTGTGCTATGCAAACAACTGAAAGATATAGTGTTAGGCCAGGTGGTGGCTCATACCTGTAATCCCAGCCCTTGGGAGGCTGAGGCAGGTGGATCACCTGAGGTCAGGAGTTTGAGACCAGCCTGACCAACATGATGAAACCCCATCTCTACCAAAAATACAAAAAATTAGCCGGGCATGGTGGCAAACACCTGTAATCCCAATTTACTCAGGAGGCTGAGATGGCAGAATTGCTTGAACCCAGCAGCTGGAGGTTGCAGTGAGCCAAGATAACAGCATTGTACTCCAGCCTGGGCAACAAGAGCAAAACTCCATCACAAGAGAAAAAAAAAAAAAGATGTTAGTATCAGTAGCACATAAAATCAAACTCAAGGTAGAAAATATTGAGACAAAAGATATTTTACATTTATTTTAAAAACACAAACTGGGCACAGTGGCTCATGCCTGTAATCCCAGCATTTTGGGAGGCCGAGGCAGGCGGATTACTTGAGGTCAGGAGTCTGAGACCAGCCTGGTCAACATGGTGAAACTCCATCTCTATTAAAAATAGAAAAATTAGCTGAGCATGGTGGCACGTGCCTGTAGTCCCAGATGCTCAAAAGACTGAGGCAGGAGAATCGCTTGAACTTGGGAGGCAAAGGTTGCAGTGAGCTGAGACAGTGCCACTACACACCATCCTGGGCAACAGGAGACTATCTCAAAAACAAAAACCAAAAACACTCCAAGGACCTAAAGCAGCCAGGAATCTTTCAATCATTTTAATGTTGTTTCGAGGTGTGTAAAACAAAACCTGATTGAAGAAGAAATTCTGTCCACTATGATAAGGACACATGTATCTTAGACAACTACTCAGAGAGAAAACAGGCAATGGTAAAGACTATTTCAGTAACACAATAAACTTGACCTAATCAGGACTAATACAACCAAGAATATTCCTTTTGTTCAACACTGAGTATATACGGAACTGCAAAATCCACCTGGACTACAAAAAAACTAGTTTCATACAGGCCACAGTCACCCATCACAATACACACAAATCTCCCTCTCAGATCATGCTTCTCAGAGAATCAGCCTGCAACAGCCACAGGTGAGGGGTTTCTTTCGTTAAAAGTGGTTAAAAGTCACTAAGGAAATGATAGCAAACCTATAACCACACGACAATTAAAGCTTACCAAAACAGTAAACAGGTCAGGATATATCACAAAAATGACAAGTCTGATGCCTTTTCAAAAGTGGGATAAATACTAAGAACAACCAGATACTGTAGCAGACTCAAATGCCATTCAGCCTCTGATTTGCCAGCTAGTTAGTGACAATACTGGCCACAGAGTTCTCCTGAGGGGGCTTCTGAGAAAAAGCTCTTCCCTGTCCTGATGAACAGGGATAGATGGGGCCAGCAGAGTCCTTCACCCCTTTCTACCTGCAACACGTTCCTGAGGCCTGGAGATTTATCACCCATCTTGTAATCAGGGAGAAATGAGCACAGCCTGAGGATGATGGAGGAGAAAACGCAGAGCCAGGTGTGTCTGGCGGTTCCTTCGTGTCGCCACTCCAGCTCTGGTTTGCCTATGCAGAGACACGCTGAGGCATCAAATAAGCTGTTATTTACAGGCCAATCATTACAGTAAAATAAATGAGCAAAAGGCATGAACAGAATGCAGAGAGGAAGATAAGCTCATAAACATAAAGGAAAAAAACATTCAACCCCAACTATTGTTAAAAAAAAAAAAACAAAACAAAAAACCAACCTGAAATGAGCATGCATTATTTTCTGCCAGTGACAGCATTTAAAAAGTTAGGCCACTCATTATTGAAGGAAGCAGAAACTAATATGTTCTTTCTGGGAAGCGACTTAGAAATATGTACACATGTATGTAAAGGGTTTTAAAAAAGCATTCCTAAAGCAATTTCCAGCTGTAGGGGTACCAATATTGACTTGGTACCCCTACAGCTGGAAATCATGCCATTAAAATAATCCTAAATACCAAAAACGCCTATATATAAAAATATCCACTTAAAACAGCAAAAAAGGCCTGGGCGCAGCAGCTCACACCTGCAATCTCAGCACTTTGGGAGGCAGCAGCACACTCCCATAATCCCAGCTACTTAGGAGGCTGAGCTGCCCCAGAGGCAGAAGCTGCAATGAGCCGAGACTGTGCCACTGCACTCCAGCTTCAGCAATGAAGCAAGACTCTCTCCCAAAAAAAAAAAGGGAAAAATAGTTAACTGTTAGTAGACAGTATATTACACTATCATTCAGAATCCTAGTTTTCAGAAACACTAATATGTCCATCACAATGGCAAATGAAAAAGCAGGAAAAAAAACTGTATATTCAATATAACTGACAAAATCAAAGCTTCATGTTAAAAAAAAAAAAAAAATGACAGGCCAGGGCAGTGGTGGCTCATGCCTGTAATCCCTGCACTTTGGGAGGCTGAGGCAGGCGGATCACGAGGTCAGGAGTTCGAGACCAGCCTGGTCAATATGGTGAAACTCCGTCTCCACTAAAAATACAAAAATTAGCCAGGTGTGGTGGAACGCGCCTGTAGTCCGAGCTACTCAGGAGGCTGAGGCAGAACAATCACTTGAACCCAGGAAGTGGAGGTTGCAGCGAGCCGAGATCACGCCACTGCACTCCAGCCTGGACAACAGAGTGGGACTGCGTCTCGAAAACAAAAACAAAACAAAAGATGACAAATATATTACATACAAATGAGTATTCTGGGGTAGATGGGTTGATAAGGATATCTTTTTCACTTTCCAAGTTATATTGAATAAATGGTTTTTATAGAAAAAAATACTTTAAAGATTGAAGTATATCATCTAATAGTAAACCTTTTTTTTTTTTTTTTTTTTTTTCAGACAGAGCCTTGCTCTGTCACCCGGTTGGAGTGTAGTGGCAATCTTGGCTCACTGTAACCTCCACCTCCTGGGTTCAAGCGATTCCTCCTCCTCAGCCTCCCGAGTGGCTGGGACCACAGGGGCATGCCACCAGGCCTGGCTAAATTTTTTGTATTTTTAGTAGAGACGGGGTTTCACAGTGTTGGCCAGGATGGTCTCAATCTCTTGACCTTGTAATCTGCCTGCCTCGGCCTCCCAAAGTGCTGGGATTACAGGCATGAGCCACTGTGCCCGGCCAAAAATGTGGTGGCTTAATTCTAAACCAAATAAAGGATCACAGCAAAATTTAAACCATGAAATCAGTTAAGACTTGAAGCTTCCCAAGGGCAAACCCTCTCTCTTCCTTGGCATCCTACCAGTCCTCCCTGATGTTGCTGGGAGCTTCCTAAGATACACTGTCAGCAATGGGGTAAGCCATTTCCATTCCCTCTAGGATACCAGAGGCTAGAGTTCTTTTAACATCCTAAGTGCATGCAGAGATACTCAGCTGTAATTTTTTTCCTTCTCTAATGCTTGCTTTTGTCTTCCTGGCAACCCCATGTATTCTGCAAGAACCGTTCGTTCTCAAAGAAACCACTCTAGTTTTAAAGCGGCAAAACTCAATGGTTCAGAAAAGCACGAGCTCTGAAGTCAGCCAGACCCAAGTCTCTTCTTGCTCATTGAACCACTTCATCTTTCTAGGATTCAGTGACTGCGAGATGTGGATGGCAGTAGTTAACTTCCTCGTATATCCTAACCACGAGGATTAAATGAGAGACTAAGTAAATCACTTAGCACCGTGGCTGGTACTTCCTAAGTGCTCAAAGCACTGCTACTATTTCTGCTCTACTTTTATACCACTCCTACAAGCACGAAATTTTTTCCATTCAGGTGGAACCAGCTTGCACGTTTAAGATGAAAATTTCAGGACTGAAGTATTCTTATTTGGTTATTCCTACAGATAAACAAGGGAGACGCGGGAAGTTGGAATAACTTACCAAACCCCGCAAAGCCAGCAGGTTACACAGTTTAGATGAAAATGCAGGTCCGCCTCCACGGCCTCGCATTTTAGCTTACAGTACCCAGCTGCCACACTAAGGAAACCGGACCCCTCCGTTCCCTTAGTTCAGAGGCCGAGAAGGTTAACATATTTATAGCAAGGGCCCTAAGGCCTAGAAAAGCTATTGGCGCACAGCAGGCACTCCTTAAACCAACCAGCTCCAGCTGACCCACATCTAACTCAATGTCCCAGCACAACTTCCCTTCCTATTGGAGGAAAGTAGGGAAAAAAGAAAGTCTAATATTGTTTGTACCGTAGTTTTACAAACTAGTTTTGTAAGAAAGTCTAATATTGTTTGTACCGTAGTTTTTAAACGAAGGTACTGAATCCACAGACAAGTTTCTCTTAGAGAGAAGGTGAACGTTTGCATTTGAAGGAGTGATGCCTGGAAGGGCTATTTCCAAACCCATAGAGAATCCTCCCACACCAGACCCTCCTACCTTTCACCCGCCCTTCGCAGCCAAGGTTCCAAGTCTCCAAGTCTCCTCTCTCCACTTCCAGGCCCCTTGTACCCGCTCAACGCCCAACCCCAACGTCCAGCGCCCAACGTCTGGCCCCCAACGACCGAAGCCTCTTCCCTTCCCCTCCATGCCGTCCCTCTTCCTCCCCTATACGCCTGGGAACCCTGACCTGGAAAGAGGCAAGAGGACTGCGTACCCAGCGCTCTTTCTGCAGCCTGGCGGTGGCGGTGACTGCCGGTGCTGGGAGCCCAGACGCCTGGGATGCGTCCAGCACTTCCCTCGCCTACAATCCCGAGTACGCCCTCCTGGCTCCAGCGCGCGCCTGCGCACTCCGCGCCCACGTGCAGCTCAACTCTAAATGCCCACGTGCTCCCTCCGCCTTCCCCGGAAGTAGATTGTGTTCTAGTTGCAGGCTCAAAAAGTTCCTTTGCAGAAACTTTATTTTGTTTTAGCTTCTTCTAGAAAGGTGTCCCTGGGAACGCCTTTGGCAGATTTTGGGCACAAAGACGCAGACTTCGCTCGAAGGTCACTTGGGTCGCCGTAGCCACTTGAAGGTCTTACAAACTTTTCCAAATGAATCAATTGCCTCTGCCTGGTCTTGGAAACAAAACACACACATGCTCATACTTTTTTTCTTCCTGACTGAGGGCATGCGATTATACCTGTTGGTGTTTTGGTGTTACTTAAAGAAAAGTTTTGTTTTTTTTTTTTAACTTTTTAACAATTTTGTAAGAAGGCAACCCCTGTGTACTTATCATCTAGTTTACACATTATCAATTAACGGTTAATCCTGGCCATCTGCCACTTAGGCATTGTTTTGAAGCAAATCCAAGAACTGTAACTGTGAGACAAAGTAGCCAACATCGGCCTCTGGTGATACTCCTCCCAGAGTATCATACTCCTCCCTCACTTTGAAAAAGCCATGTTTGTTCATTGTGTTTGTCAGCCTGATTTCAGACCCCGTGACTCAGTAACATCTCAGCCCTCTGGAAGAAAGCCTTGAGGACTATGTAAGCAGGATAGAACTCAGGTTCCCACTTCTGAGAATCACTGCATTTTTAGAAAAGATACGTTCGGTAATCTAGCCCTTCCCTTTTTCTGTACATAATGGACAATATTAATAATAATGCTCAGACTTGTACCCAAACTTTGAAGAGATTTTGAACGTATATAGCTTCTGGGCACTTTTAATGTAACACCTGGGCAGAACCTCTACCACCTAATATATAAAGTGTGCTGACACACTGCTTTGGAGTAGTTTAACAGACATTCTAGTGACTCTCCCTGGTTGCAATCCTTGGTAAGACTTTGAATAAAACTAACTTCAATTCTTTAAAAGTCTGATTTTTTTCTTTAGTTGATAGACCTTTTGAATAAATTTTAAATACACAGAGCAGTTTTGGATTTACAGAATAGTGAAATGAAAGTGATGACTGGGCACAGTGGCTCATGCCTGTAATCCCAGCATTTTGGGAGGCCGAAGCCGGCAGATCACCTGAGGTCAGGAGTTCGAGATCAGCCTGGCCAACATGGTGAAACACTGTGTCTACTAAAAATAAAAATTAGCTGGGCATGGTGGCTAGCACCTGCTACTTATGAGACTGAGGGCGGAAATGGCTTGAACCTGGAAGGTGGAGGTTGCAGTGAGCTGAGATCCTTCCACCACACTCCAGGTAACAGAGCAAGACTCTGTTTCAAAAAACAACGGAAAAGAAAAAAAAAGAAAGAAAGTGCTGTACAGAGTTCTAACAGAAGCCCATCATTTCCCCTATTATTAGTATGGTCTGTTAACATGATACATTTGTTACAATTAAAGAACCAACATTGATACATTATTAATTAAACTCCATAGTTTTGACTTCCTTAGTTTTTACATTGTCCCTTTTCTCATGCAAGATCTCATCCAGGATATCATATTACATTTCGTTTTAATGGAGCCTTAGGCTCTTCTTGGCCTGGGACTTCCTTTGACTTTTTGTTTTGATGACCTTCGTTTCCAGGAGTACTGTCAGGCATTTTGTAGGATGCCCTACTTCTGGAATTTGATATTTTTCTCCTGGACGGAAAGGAGTTATGGGTTATTAGAAGGAAGACCACAGAGGTAAAAATGCCATTTTTATTGTATCATATAAAGCGTACATCCTATGAATATAATTACGACAATCCATGTAGGCCTTGGTCATCTGGCTGTGGACATTTTTGTTAGGTCTTTCTACTATATTCTCTTTTTTTCCCTTTCCTTTTCATATCATTTACATTTTGGAAGGAAGCTATTATTTGAAGCCCACATTTAAGGAGTAGGGAGTTATGCTGTCCCTCTTTGAAGGTGCAGTGTCTACAGAAATTATTTGGAATTCTTCTGCATGGGAGATTTGTCTCTTCTCCATTTACTAATTTAATAATAGACTCTTGGATATTTATTTTATACCTTTATAATCCAATACTAATTTATTTCCTTGCTCAGATTTTTCCAGCTTTGACCACAGGGAGCTGTTTCAGTTGGTTTCTGTTCTTTCACATTCTATCATCAGGTGGAGAGTTTTGTTTATTAAACACTTTATTACTTTCTGGGATGTTGTATGTTTTCATCCAAAAATATTGTAAGTAAGTGTCTTTAAGAGATTACCACTTTTAAGTACATCACCAAAACTTAAAAACGATACTTTATCTTCCTTTTCCTTTCCTTCCTCCTTTTTCTCCTTTCCTTTATTTTCCTTTCTTTCTGACAGGGTCTTGCTCTGTCGCCCAAACTGGAGTGCAGTGGCACAGTTATAGCTCACTGTGGTCTTGAACTACTGAACTCAAGCCATCATTCCACCTCAGTAGCTGGGATTACAGGTATAAACCATGGTGCCTGGCCATAATCTCTTAATATCATAAAATTAGTATTAAATATTTCAAGATACATCAAATGTTATTATTTTTTTCTTTTTAGAGATGAGGTCCCACCATGTTCCCCAGGCTGGTCTCAAACTCCTGAGCTCAAGCAGACCATCTTGGCCTCCCAAAGTACTGGGATTACAGGTGTGTGCCACTACGCCCAGACACTCTAATGTTATCTTACATAGTTGGCATGTTCAAATCAGGATCAAAACATCCTGCATTTACACTCAGTGATATATTTAAAAGGGATTTCTCTTTAAGTCCTGTACTTCTCTTGTAATTTATTTATTACAGTAACTGCAGGGTTTTTTTTCCATTCAATTTTGTTGATTGCAAAATATCTCCCTGGCAAAAATACTTCACAGGTGGTGGTGTGCTTCTCTATTGTAACATTTCTCAAGATATAAAATTTGTAATTGTTTCATTGTGGAGGATATTAAGATTGATCTAGCAGGTTCAAGTGTTGTCAGCCCCATCCATCCATTACAATACGAAGTTTCCTATCAGTTTTTCATCTAATGGCTCCAGACTCACAGATGATCATTACCTAGATCTATTATTTCATTAGAGTTTGCAAAAATAGTGATCATCTTTCTTTCTGCATTTATTACATGGAGTTCTATAGAGAAGAACTTCCCCAGATTGTCTATTTGATTGATATTCAGTTTGCAACAGGAAAGGTAAGATGAATGCTTGATTATTCATCTTTCTCAGTTCTCAGACTGTAAAAACTTTTTGGCATCTTTCCAAGAGGGTCAATGACATTAAAAAAAAAAAAAATGCACTCGGCCAGGCGTGGTGGCTCAAGCCTGTAATCCCAGCACTTTGGGAGGCCGAGGTGGGCGGATCACGAGGTCAAGAGATCGAGACCATCCTGGTCAATATGGTGAAACCCCATCTCTACTAAAAATAAAAAAATTAGCTGGGCATGGTGGCATGTGCCTGTAATCCCAGCTACTCAGGAGGCTGAGGCAGGAGAATTGCCTGAACCCAGGAGGCGGAGGTTTCAGTGAGCCGAGATCGCGCCATTGCACTCCAGCCTGGGTAACAAGAGCGAAACTCTGTCTCAAAAAAAAAAAAAAAAAAATGCACTCACTGATTTTTCACATAATTCGTCTCAACTCCTTCCTGTTATTATTTTTGAATGCTAAATTTGTCCTGTTTGAGAAATTGGAGCATCTTTGAACTGGCTTCTGAGTCTTTTGGGCACAGCTCATGTTATCTTTGCTTTGCTTTCTTCCTTGCTTTCTGCTACAACCAACATGTCCTAGGCTATCTTGCATATTTCAACCAACATATTCTAAGCTATCTTGCATATTTCTTGCCCTGACTGGGAATTAGCACTTAACCTCCAGGAGGAGCCAAGGTAACTTTTTTTGGAAAATGATTTTTAGAGATTATAATCTGGAGAATAGGAGTGTGCAATGGGTTGGTCACTGTTCTAGAAGTTTTCAGTGGACACACCTTTTTTCCATGAAAGAAAAATGTGCCATGAGTTAATTCTAGTATTTCCAAATTCAAATATAGGATTGCAGAATTTTAATGTTGTCTTTGGTTTATATTTGTATATCTTTCCTCTTAGAGTGAAAAACTGTTTCCAAAGATGTATTTATATGCTTTATATTAATTGTAAATTCAGAAATAGAAATAGCAATAGCAATGTTATTACTGGCAATATGAGTACTGAAAACAGCTTAAGGTTTCTTCCGTTTTTTCCTCTTGGATTAATATCTCCCTAGGAAGGTTTGGTTGATTTATCATTTTAAAGTCAAACCATTTCTGTGACAAGACACTTTAACTGCAAAACATGCTTCAATGTAGTACCTTCATTTAAGGAGAAGTGAGGTGCCATTACACCTTCGTGTGTGTGTTTTGCCAGCAGTATCGAAGAAGCTTAATGGAATGGTAGTAAGTTTTCCTTTACAAACTCTTGCATTGCAGAAGCTTCTGAATCAGCTATTTTCATTCATGAGATGTCTATAAGTTCTAAACCAAAGAACATCGTTTCCCGGACTGAGGAGGTTTGCAAAACCTCTAGAGACTGAACTGCTTACCTTCCTTCTCTGGCCCCGGCGAGGCAACTGTACCCCATGGCACTTTTTGTTGCCATGCTGCGTGCCAGGTTACCCAGCCGGGAAAGGGCACTCCCTGCTATAAATGCACTGTCTGGAGCCAGGGGTGAAGGCACCGACAGTTTATTATTAAACAATGGCAGCAGCGCCACGCTAAAGACAGGAGTGCGCTGTTATGGAACCCCCCAGAAGTTTCCCCCAGGGCTGAATCGTCGACCTGGCAGGTAGCCTGCTCCTGGCGACTCTGCCCATGTTAGGCTCAAGGTTTACGCATCAGAGCCGCGAAGCCACGATTTCAAATTCTCTTTTATTGCTTTATGTCCCTGACTCATGCAGGCCAAAGGGTGAGGAGGAGTAACAGCCAACAAGGGCGTCCTGCAGAAAAAAAAAAACCTGCGTGGGTCCAGAGGAGCGTTAAGAGTCAGGACCGCACCAAGGGAAGGAGAGCCGGTTCTCCAGGTCCGTGGGGGCGTTGGTGCCCAGCCTAGCTGAGTGGGTGCGAGGCGGGGCCTGCCGGGCCTCGAGATGGGAGGTGGAGCTCCGCCGGCCCCGCCCACTGCAGACAGGTTACCCAGGACCTCAAGGTGCGTCGCGTCACCCCGCCCGCGCCGCGCTGATTGGTTCCTCCAGGGAGCCCCCGCCCCCTCAGCTGTAGCCCAGCCGGCTTCAGCGTCGCCGCCATCTTTGTTGATGTGTCAGCTCCGTGGGGGCTTGGGGATTCCGCGGCTTAGGGAGGGAGGCGTCGGCTCTGTTTCTTACAGCGGTCTTTTCCTCCCACTCCTGGCTGGTCGGACCCCGCTATGGAAAAGTTGGCCCCTGAGCCAGAGCTCCAGCGGCCTCGTTAGGGTGTGGCCTGAGGCTTGGAGAAGGGTGAGTGTCTGAGGGGCGCTCCGGGCAGACTGGCGAGTCGGCGGTGGCGGCGCGGTGGGGCTGACAACCTTCCGCTCCATCCTGCAGGTCCGAGGGCGAGGGGCGGGCGAGGGCAAGGGCGAGCCGGTTCCCCGCCTGGCTCCTCTGAGGGCGCGGAGGACGGGGAGGGCTGGGGAACAGGTTTCAAGCCCCTTCCGCTCCCTGTCTTCCTCCTTCGGTTCCGGGACTTTGGAGGCGGCCGAAAGGGGTCAGTGGGGTCGCAGGGGCTGTGTCGGGAGAGCGACTGAATTGGAGCCCATTGCCTGTGCTGCGTGTGAGCTGTAGCCAAGCCCCACCTGCTCGAGAATTTTTCCTAGACTCAATCGCCTATTTCGCTTTTCATCTCAAGTTGCCTGTATGTGTGTGTTTTATGTTTACTGTGGTGATGACTTGTTACCCTCTTCCAAACACTTCCATTACTGTGATTTTAAGTTTCTTAGAAATGATTCTTTGGAGTGGCGGATACTGTTCTTTATGTTGTCTTTCAAGGACATCAAGGCATTTCATAAACCTTGGTTGGTAAGAGAGGGGTTTCAGATGTATGTCTCCATCTGTAGTGAAAAACGGTCAAACAAACAAAAAGCCCTTCCACGTGTCCCCAAGTAGCAATCTTGGGAAACAGAGCAGGTGTAATTATTGTTAAGTTTAACAACTTCAGCTAATATTCCCATCTTGATTTTGTTTAGAGGAAAGAGGCCTGGATTTGGAGTCAGAACATCTGGATTAGAATCATTCTTTCACTTGATAATCTTGTTACCTATGGGAATCAGAAGAGAGAATATAGTAAAAATATGCAGTACAGTCCCAGTCCCAGGTACTTGGCCGTTTTCTCTGCATGTGTGTTATGTTCCTTTGATGCTCAGCTTTTTGTTTATTACAAAACGCTAGGCCGGGTGTTGTCTTCTAAGTTGTGCAGTAAATTACCAGCACACAAGAGGTAGTCATTCAGAAAAAATCTGCTGTTAACTATTTTGGTATGCTAGTTGTGGGTGTGGCTTTCCCAACTACTAACTACACCTAGTATTTAAGTGTTCGTTTCGTGGGAAGGATTCAGATTCAAGAGACACTGATAGTGAAACTGAACTATCTCTGTGTGTAATGTACACTGTTCCCTGTGTAACTTCTCTTCAATTCTTTGTCCACCATTACACAAATAACGGTAATCATTGGCCAGGTTCATTTTTTTCTTTTATTTTTAGTCTTTTCATGTTATTTTCAATTCAGTGAAGACATTAGATCACAAATCTTGCAGTAGTAAAAATTAAAACTCCTTTTTACAGCATTGTAGGCAGACATGTATAATTACTGAAGATTCTCCCTGGAAATGCGTGGAGAGTGTGTGTGTGTTTAAGGCCCTGTTAAATTCAGAATAACTGCATATAAACTTAAGGTTTCTTTAAATAGTGGAAATACCATAGTGTGTCATTGGCTTTGAGTCCCATTTATTGCTAATGGAAAGGGTTGATTAGTATCAGAGCAACCACTCTAACCTTTTAGTTCCTTCACTCATCAACCAAAGAGTTGTCCTTTAATGCTGTGCAGTGACAGCATAGCTGAGGATGATTGCTTAGTGTGTTCAGTTTAGAAACATCTATTTGCAGCTTTATGCTGACATCATGGCGTGAAGATAAAAGCATTACAGTATACTGACTCTAGGGAAGAGACAGTAGGTTGAAGCACACAGCAGCCTTATTTAGAGATTTAGAAAATAATCTTCCCCTTTGGAGAATGACTGGTAATCTGCACTGGTTTCCCAAATTCATCCAACAGTTTCGTGTTACAGTAAAAATCCTTACCCTGAATTTTTTTTTTCTTTTAGTAAAACTTAAGTTTTTCTTTTATCTCTACCTTTAAATAACTAAAGCTGATTGTTCAATTTCTGGTTCTTCAGTTTCTCATAAACATATCGCTGAGTTTACAATATTGCAGATGTTACAATTAGTATTCATTTTAGAGGCAGCAGTGAGATCATAGATAATTTCATCTTCTATTGTTTCAAACTGCTTTGAACTTTCTTAGCTACTGAGATTTTAAAAATTTATTGGGCTAAAAGGAAAAAAAAGAAAAAATACTGAGATGAAGGGGCAGTAGATACAAAGTAGAAATCAGCCCCAGCATAGTTTCGATTGGATTGAGTGTATTTCTTATTAACATTTGTCACTAAGACACAAGAAGTGATAGTCGAAGGATTATGTAGACTATGTAGTGTCTACTGCACTTACTACATAATCTTATGGTAGACATCAGTTTATTTTTTTATAAACTGTAGCATACCAAATTCACCAACCTTGGCCATAGGTGGCTTCGAAGTGTAAACATTAACCCAAACTTTAATATAATGTAGGCTTATAACTTGAAAAAAAATTTTTTTAAAGATATTAGCCTTAGTTTTGTTATGTTTTTTGAGACAAGATCTCAGTCTGTCACCCAGGCTGGAGTATAGTGGTATGATCATAATTCACTGTAGCCTTGAACTCCTGGGCTCAAGCAATCCTCCTGTCTTAGCCTCCTGAGTAGCTAGGACAACAAGCACAGGCCACCATGCTAATCTTTTTAATTAAAAATAAATTACTATTTTTTTTATAGACTGGATCTTGCTGCCTTTCCCAGGCTAGTCTCTTAACTCCTGGCCTCATTTGATCCTCCCATCTCAGCCTCTCAAAGTGCCGGGATTACAGGTGTGAGCCACCATGCCTGGCAGCCTTCCATTTTGAAAAGGGAACTATAGGTCAAATTTTTTTCCCCTTCTTTAGTAGTTTTCAGATTTGGAAGAAAACTAGCTGATAATACTTTTTGTGTTTATTTAGACTAATTAAAGTGCAAATGCAAGCTTTGAATTAGATTTCTTTTCTTCTCTCATTTTTTTTTTTTTTTTTTTTTTGAGACAAGAGTCTTGCTCTTGTTGCCCAGGCTGGAGTGCAGTCTCGGCTCACAGCAACCTCCGCCTCCCGGGTTCAAGTGATTCTCCTGCCTCAGCCTCCTGAGTAGCTAGGATTACAGGCATGCTGTAGCACTCCCAGCTAGTTTTGTATTTTTAGTAGAGATGGGATTTTTCCATGTTGGCCGGGTTGGTCTTGAATTCCTGACCTCAGGTGATCCACCTGCCTCAGTCTCCCAAAGTTCTGGGATTATAGGAGTGAGCCACAGTGCCCGGCCTCAAAGTAGATTTCTACGTTAGTCTAATAACTTTCTGCTTTAGTAAAGTTTTATAGGAGGTCTGTAAAATTTCTGAACTGATAAGACATATATTGTGTAACTTGATAATGTGATATATGGTGTGGCCACTGACCCTGTTTTTCATGGAATTTTGGTGGACCATAATTTCTCTTTGTCCTGTTATCCTATCATAGGATTTGGTACTATTTGGGAGTTGGTGGAGGGTGGGGGTCTTGCTGCATCTATTGCCCAAGTCTTTTTTGAAACATCTTTGTGTGTGTGTGTATGTGTGTGTGTGTGTGAGAGAGATAATGCACATATCATAAAGTTCACCTTGCTATGAGTCTTGGGTCTAAAGCTAAACATACCCCCACAGGAATAAATAACCTTGGCCTTTTACAACAAACTTTTCAAGCTGGTGAACTAAAGGAAACTTTTTTATTCTAGTGCTATTTTTCACCTAAAAGAATCAGTATATTACAGTTAAATTTGTGTCCGTCATGGTGGCTCACATCTGAAATCCTAGCACTTTTTGGGGGTTGAGGTGAGAGGATTGCTTGACGTCAGTAGTTTGAGATCATCAGCCTGGGCAACATAGCAAGACCCCATCTCTACAAAACATTTTTAAAAATTAGCTGGGTTTGGCAGCATGTACCTGTAGTCACAACTTCTTAGGAGGCTGAGGTGGGAAGATCAGTTGAGCCCAGGAATTTGAGGTTGCAGTGACCTATGTTTGTACTCCAGCCTGGGTGACTGAGCAAGACCCTGTCTCTGAATAATAATAAGTTGAAAATTTAAATTTTACCCTGAAGCTTAATAGGATGTGACTACTTTAAAAATTATTTCTTCCTTTTTTTTTTTTTAAAGAACTTAGAGTTTTTTTTTGAAATAGACCCATCGGTTTTTATCTTTTAAAAGCAGAATTTGATCTGCATAAATTCACTTTATATGAGAATTCAGTGTCAGATATTTCCATCACATGAAACAACATTTTCATGTTTCTTACACAAGTTCTTTTCCATCCTGTTCTATTTTTAAAAAGCTAAGTTAAAAGTATTAGCTGGGTGTGGTGGTATGCACCTTGTAGTCTTATCTACTTGGGAGCCTTAAGTGGGATGATTGCTTGAGCCAGAAGTTTGAAGCTGCAGTGAGCTATGATTGAGCCACTGCATTCCAGCCCGGGTGACAGAGTGAGACCCTGTTTCTAAATATGAATAAATAAATAGGTAGCTAGCTTTATCCAGAAAGTGTTTGTCTTTTAAAGTTTTTATCAAAAGTCAGTTATTTGGGGGTTGGGGGCAGGTTACGTTGAACTGTGTGGATGCTTTTTTCTTTATTTGATTTTTACTTCTGACATTAATTCCCATATCAAAATATTGTTAGAACTAGTCAGAAAGATGTTTATTCTTTTGTTTATGCTGCCTTCAAAGGGTTTTTGGAGAATACATAAAAACTCTTTTGATGTAGGTACACAAAGGACAGTAAACCATTATATTGAAGAATAGGAGTGGTCTCAAGTTCAGTTTGCTTAATGGATATTACTTGAGAAGTGTACAGCTGGTATTATTTAAGAATGGTATAGGCTAGGCATGGTGACTCATGCCTGTAATCCCAGCACTTTGGAAGGCCGAGGCAGGCAGATCGCTTGAGGTCAGGAGTTCAAGAGAGCCTGGCCAACGTGGTGAAACCCCATCTTTACTAAAAATACAAAAATTAGCTGGGTGTAGTGGCATACCCCTGTAATCCCAGCTACTTGGGAGGCTGAGCAGAGAATTGCTCAAACCTGGGAGGTGGAGGTTGCAGTGAGCCCAGATGGCACCACTGCACTCCAGCCTGAGCCAACAGTGAGACTCTGTCTCAAAAAAAAAAAAAAGGGACAGTTTAGAGTTTAAAAATTTATAGTCTGTCAATGAAGCCAGATTTCTCTTAATAGACTTAAAACACTTAACGCATTTCTTACTTAGCTTCTGATGGAGCCCTGGCAAACCTGAAAGTTAAAATACCGTAATATTAAATACTATAGAATCCATAATACTTTATTGGCAGTAAGACATGAATAAAATGAGGGATTTCTATTATATTCACTGCTATGTTCCCAACACCTAGAATAGTGCCCGCACCTGTTAATGGATGCTCAATATGTATTTGGTAAAAATTAACATCTAGTTTGGAAATGTATTTCTTAGTACCTTCATATGAGACTAGTTTGTTTGATAACCTGTTACTGAGTATCTATGAGTTTGTAATCACCTGACAGGTTCTTGCTTGCTGCACAGATAGAGGCAGTTTACTGAGATAGCAGTATTACTATAGAGAAAGTTTAATAAAGGCAGAGCCAGCCAAATAGGAGTAAGAAGTTAATTACTCAGATAAATCTCTCTGAAAATTAGAAGACTAGGGTTTTTTTTTTTAAAAGGATAATTTGGTGGGCAAGGGGCTAGGGAATGGGGAATGCTGATTGGTTGAGTCAGGGATGAAATCATTGGGGGTTGAAGCTGTCATCTTGTGTTGAGTCACAAGATCAGTTGAGCCAGTTTAGTGGTCCAGGTGGCAGACACCAGATGCTGTATCAAAATGCAGGGTCTGAAAAGTACCACGAATATCAATCTTAGATTTTAAAATAGTGATTTTATATATAGGGGCAATATTTGCAGTTTA